CCCCAAAACCCCAAAACCCCAAAACCCCAAAACCCCATAGATTGATAATAAGCAATTAGGCAAATAGTATAACTATGTAGTATATGATTATTTTAAGGTTAAAAAGTATGAATAAGTTTAATAGATGATATAGAGTGGATCCAAAGCTCTAACTTATAATATTTTTAAATGAATAGAATCTCAATTGTAGTAGCACTCCTTCTCGGAATCGCTATGGCTCACAGAGTTGACCAACCTTGCAGAAGAAAGTCAACCAAACCAATTCACCCAGTGTTGAAGTCTGCTCCTCTCCAAGACTAGGCACTCCCAGACAACTGGATTTGGAACAACGTTAATGGAGTCAACTACCTCACTAACTTGAAGAATCAACACATTCCTCAGTACTGTGGTTCATGCTGGGCTCAATCTGCTACCTCAGCTTTCTCAGATAGAATCAAGATTGCAAGAAAGGCTCAATGGCCAGATATCAACATCGCTCCTCAAGTAGTTATCTCATGTTCAATGAATGACGATGGATGCCATGGTGGTGAGGCCCTTTCTGCCTTCGAATTCATGCACAATAATGAAGTCACTGATGAGACCTGCTCAATCTATCAAGCCAGAGGTCATGATAATGGTATCGAATGCGCTCCAATTACCATGTGCAAGAACTGTCAACCAGGCTCTGACTGCTTTGTCCCAGACCAATATTACACTTACAGAGTCGATGAGTTCGGACAAGTTTCAGGAGAACAAGCTATGATGCAAGAGATCTACCAACGTGGACCAATTGCTTGTGGTATTGCCGTGCCAGATTCCCTTGAGGCCTACACTGGAGGTATCTATAAAGACACTACTGGTGACACAGACATCGTCCATGATATTTCAGTAGTTGGATTTGGTGTTGAGAATGGAACCAAGTATTGGGTAGTTAGAAACTCATGGGGTACCCACTGGGGTGAAAGTGGATTCGTTAGAGTCATCAGAGGTGAAAACAACATCGCTATTGAGACTGATTGCGCTTGGGCCACTCCTCTTGATACCTGGAGCAACAAGACCATGCATCACACAACTGATGCTGAGAAGAAGGATCCAAAGAACGCAAAATACGTTAAGAATGGACCATACCCAGAAAGAACAGCCGACGAAGTATTCTTGGCCAAGGACCACAAGACTTGCAAGAGAGTCCCACAATCTGCCATCATTAAGGGAACTCTTAGTGAGCAGAAACCAGCTGTTATGCCATGGGATGAACTCAATGCCAACACCCTCCCCGCCAACTGGGACTGGAGAAATGTTAACAACACTAACTTCCTTTCATGGAACAAGAACCAACATATCCCAATCTATTGCGGATCATGCTGGGCTCAAGGTACTACTTCATCACTCGCTGATAGATTCAACATTCTCTTGAAGGATCACAACCCAACTCCAATTGATCTCTCTGCTCAGACCATCATCAACTGCCAAGCTGGAGGTTCATGCAACGGTGGTGACCCATCAGGTGTCTACGAATATGCCTTCGAAACTGGTATTCCAGATGTTTCATGCGAACAATACGTTGCCAAGAACTCACAAAAGGACACATGCGGACCAATGGACATCTGCAAGGACTGCAGAGGACCCCCACCCGCTGAGGGAGATGACGGACAACAAAACTGCTGGGCTGTTGACTACAAGAAGTACTACGTTTCAAACTACTACGGTCTTTCAGGTGCCGACAAGATGAAGGCTGAAATCTTCAAGAACGGACCCATCTCCTGCGGTCTTATGGTTACTGACGGATTCGAAGCCTACAAAGGTGGTATCTATTCAGAGAAAAGCTTCTGGCCAATGATCAACCACGAAATCGCCGTCGTCGGATGGGGACTTGATGAGGCCACAAAGACTGAGTATTGGATTGGCAGAAACTCATGGGGAACTTACTGGGGAGATTTTGGATTTTTCAAAATCGAGATGCACAAGGACAACCTTGCTATTGAAACTGATTGCACAGCTGGTATCCCATCATTCACCAAGCCACAAAAATAACACTTCGAACTCATCCAATGAGCTTTGAAAACTGATGATTAACATTTGACTCAGTGATAATAGTAAAACTATCCGAACCAATTTATTTGATAAAAGTTCAATATAATATTAATAAAATGTCTATTATTTCAATTTCAATTTATGTCTCAAGCTCTCCTCTCATTTTAGAGTGTCAGGAGCCCTTCCGATTCAAGTAGACGTCTGAACTTAACGAGCTAGCATTTTCTATTATCGCTTCAAATGTTCAATCTCTTCGGAGTCCCATATATCTCCCAGATAACAATGCAACGATGGCATACTTTGAACCCTTATTCAAAAACTAGAAAGAAGATAATTTCATAATCATTTTGACTAATCAAGGCTCTAATCCATACCTGATAAACGATCACTATATGCAGACAATTCATGACATAATAAAGCAATCTACAGGAATGAAATAGCATAGCTCAAATGAACAGATCGCAAAGAACTTTTAGAAATGTCAAAATGAAATAGAGTTGAGCTTCTAAGATCTAATGAGTGGACTCGATTAATCAGTCAGAGTTAAGAATAATTGGAGTTATCCTAGAATCAACAAGAAGTAGTCTGACTTCTATGAGTTAAAGTTCAATGACATTCAGAATGTAAGTCATTACAGCTGCGATTCAATCATATATGACTAAATCTTTGTCATAAATCTTGTTTTAACTTTAATGCTAATATAGAGGTATGTAGCTGTGATTGAATAATTGTCTCAGATTAGTTATCAGCAATTAGAAATCAAGCCATAGACTTAGATGTAGGATATCAAAATTGATAGAATAGAAGTCAAAGAGAAAAAGCAAGACCAAGAAGTAGTAAAAGCCAATTCAAATCAGATTCTGTAATAACAGTAATAGCTTCATTAAAATACATCCAGCGCTTAGCAGCTAAGAGGAGTGAAACTCACTGGAGTTGTTCTCGTAAGTGCATCTATCTTTATTCACTGTAGGAAAGAATCGAAATGACTATGGAAAGCTAGCAGATATCTCAGGCTGACCTGCTGGGTTAAATCACTTTGATGACTGAATTTCCTTCGCAGCTGAAACCTTTTAATGTCCCTGCTCAGTTGATAATTGAAGATGATAGATGGCATGACCGATCTAAATTTCAAATTATGAAGAATCCTAACCAAATGATCGAGTATTCTTAGTAGCCTTCGCAGCAGACCCAACATTTGTACATAACCGAGTTGAAAGATCATCCATAGACAGTAATGCTCCAATATAAAATGAACCCCTAACTTTTCAAGGAACTGCCTATGATTGTAATGTGGACTCAAGAAAAAGGACTGCTGCACATCAAATATATGATAAATAAGAAGTATAAGAGTGTGTCCTATTTGGCATTTAATATAGGAGATAACTCAGAGTAGAATCAACAAGAAATACTAGTTACAGATGAGGAAATGAAAAAGCTAAGATCGTAGCAACAATTTATTAAAGTTGATAAGGATTTCAAAATCCTAAGACTTTGGTTAGCGAATCTTAAATAGCTTTAAGGCACAATTGAATTCCACTGCTAAACCATAATACACACACTCTCAGTTGAAGTCATGGTTAAGGACCAGCTAGTCTCTGACTTATCAACAGTCAAAGCTTAGGTAGATACTTTTAATTCTAAATCCACAGGCGGTAAAATTCAGAATGGAGGAGGTGCTGCCTTAGAGAGGAGGTCAGAATTTATCATAAAAATGCTGATGAGTAATTAAATATAAAGTTAAAGTTAATTTAAAAATAACAATGGAGAGCAGTGACTTGCAACTCACAGTACTTAAACGCATCGACCCCACTATTACTAAATTTCTCTTTGTCTCCACCTTCTGCTCCATTTATGAAAATGATGAGGCCACCTCCTAATGGCATTCGTTGAACTATGAGGGCAGCTTATATATTGCTGAAGCTATGAGTCCACAAGGAGATAGGAAATATATGATGATCCTGTTGAATCGCAAGAAGAAAGACGATTTTATTGAGGCATTTGACGATTTAACTGAGTTTAAGCAAAACTAGTCATATATACAATACAGGAATAAAGCAGACTTCAAGGATTCTCCAGAGTCTATGCCAGGCCCGTGTAGAGTGATTTACTTTTCTTAGATGGAGGAAAAAGATCAGTTTTTGAAAATAGCTGAATAGGTATAAAAAGTTCTAAAGGAGCTGAGGGAGATCAAGGTCAAATAGAGCCAAGAGAAGTTCTTCACAAGAGAACAGGTCAAAGAGACTTTGGTGAGCATAGTGCAGGGAGATAAGTTTGTAGATTATTTCTACTAAATGCTGTTGAAAAAGTACGGAAATCCTTAAGCATAATGAGAGAAGGCATGCTGAAATCGATGGGAGTCGAAATTACTTGGAAGTGTTCCTCTCCTAGATTAAATCGATATATGTAATACAAAGAGTGTATTATAAGTATCAGTATATACATATAATAAGAATGCGGCAATCAGATATCGTGATAACTATTGATGTATTGTATATATGGAGTATTGGTACATTTAAAGGTATCATTGAATAATTGATGTGCCACATTTCTAATCATTCAAAATGAGTGAGAGTAATTATTTGTATATTAGTTTAATCTAATTTATTTTAAAGCAATATAATCTTAATGGATAATTTAAAACAATAAAGACATAGGTATATCTAGAATTTGAAGGAAGAAAGTGAGCTTGCACAGCCCCTAAAAACAAGACTCAACAAATTTTTCAATAAAGAAGCAGCTAATATATCCTTCTAGGAGATTCTTAAATAATGTCAGTTTGAGGATTAGAACCCTAAGCTTGTCCTTCAGGGCGATTACACTTACCCAATTCGTCCAAGGCAGCCTCCAGAAATGATCAATTTTGCAATGGATAAGATGAATAAAGAACAGAAATTTGAAAAAATAAGTCAGCTAGAGAGAGGTCGGCTAATGATGAGGTTCTTAGCAATGAGGAAGCATCCTTTAAAGAATCAATACTTTAACAGAAAACTAGTTAATAATCCACAACCTGAAAGTATCAGTCGACCCTCTCAGCAATAATAATCTTTTCAAACTCTTAAACACGATCTCTCTTTAAATAATGTTGTGGACTAGAGTGTGCATTCGACTACAACTGGAAGCCTATTCAAGATTGTACCCATTAAATAAGTAAAAACTCAGAGGAGATAATATAGAAATACTTAGTCACTCAACATGAGTACACCTTCGAGAGACATTATGAAAAGTCTGGTAGACTCACTAGATTCTGCCAGAAACTCACTTGACTATCAGAGCATCAGTCCCAGATAGCTGAATGAAAGCTCCTCTAAAGGCTAATTTATCCTACCACTAATCCCTAAAAATCTAGAAAGGAACAAGAAGATAAGAGCCAATTTGGAGTCAGTAATAAAAAAGAGCACTGATCACATGAATGAAGTCAATTCAAATAGCAGCATCAAAATTAATACACTCACTTTTAGGTCATTTAATGATGAATCCTATAAAAACTATCTAAATTAATCTAAGTCTTCTAACCAGAATAGCCAGAATAATGTTTCTGTGATTACTAATGGGATGCTAAGTTCGCCCAAGACTTCCCACTTTTAGTCTCTGACTGCTAGACATAGAAGAAGGAGATAATAAGATATAATTGATAAGGCTGATGACTAGTTTAAGGAGCTGGTTGAAACTATCAAAATTTGTGATACACTTATTGACAGGAATAGAGAACAGAGAATGAGTATGGGCTAATACGGAGTTAGAATGAAGAAGATTGTGAAGAGAAAGAAAACAAGGAAAAATAGCTTTATTCTAATAAACAGTGTGGATCACATTCTATGAAAGTTGGAAGTATAGATATCAAAAGATAATTTAATATACAAATACAGATATAAAATTGATAATTTTTTTACTTATTTTAAAGAAGTTCTTGTGATAGATAATATCTCAAGGGGTTTTGGGGTTTTGGGGTTTTGGGG